AAGAGTCAAAACAGTCAATCCTGGAGATCTTGCTCGTGGGTATAGCACTGAGGCTTAATACGATGAAAAAACTCTTTTCTTATGTCAGCAAAGAAACACAGTAGAATATAAGGTGTAATGATGTTTCCAAATTCGAAAAAATAGCTGTAGGCTTCCAAAAATATTGTTCCATCGATATCAATGAAATCTGAAAACAACATTTTAATGTAAAATAGCATTTCAAACAGATGTTAGGTTTCTAAGAGGTTTTTATCAAGTTGTGCGGGAAGCGATTGCAAGATTTTTTAAATCGTCTTGATTTCGCCTTATTGATAGATACTGTAATACAGTTTGCTAAATGTTCATTAGGGTTACCAACTCTGGCACACTGAAAGCACAGGTAAGTACATCGACTTTGCAATTTTTGGTTAATGGTGTTATTTTCTAATAAATTTTCACAGCTTACCAAAGCTCGAGTAGCGTTGTTTCAGAAACTTGCATTACTTAATCTACAGTCATACATCTCTATGTACTTTTATGAAAATATAGGATGTTGGCTATTTCTGTAGCAATGATGAAATGCATATGGAATGTTTCGTTTTGAGGTGCTATTGCGAGGCAAATAGCGTTCGCATCCTAACAACAACTGTGAAATCAGTTTCAAATTGAACATTTGAGAATTTGAAAAAGATATATAGATATTTCTTTGTTGGGATTTTGAACAATTAAAGCATTAAAAAACTGGGGAAGCAAGAGTAGGACATGCTTCTTTACCAAATGTATTCGGTGTTAACCTAAGTGCCACTAGTTAACATGATTAACTTTTTACGTAACTTTTCGAACTTGGCAGCTAATAGAGAATTGCTGCCAATACCAGCCGGAAGTTTTGCTTTCCACTTGTTGAAGGATGAAAGCGTCCGAAAAGCATGAATATCAGAATGCTTAAACTATCTCGTACAGCGTGGACGGGTCGCGTGAATTCCATCACCTTTCGTTGATAATACAAGAAAGTTCGCAAAATTAGAGATTGTAATCATAAACCAAAACATTTTAACTGTTTACTGCGTCTTACTCATCATGTGACCAT